GTGTGTGTGTGTGTGTGTCAGGACGAGACAGATTCAGTGCATAAGCCACCTGTCATGCATCATTTCCCGTTCACTAAACTACCCCCGTTAACGGGCAGCAACAGCTAGCCACGTGTGTGTTTGGAGAGAGGGGTTAAGGTTGAACGCACCAATGAGGGGAAAAAAGAAAAACCAGGAACATGTAATTTCAAGCTAGGCTGCACCCACTAAATGCATGTGGCATCAATTAGTTGCTCTGCATATATATGGGTGCTCTCCATATCGCTTGGAAATCTTTTTTAAAAACATTTGAAAGTAAAGCTCTCACTACTAGTGAGTGAGACCCAGTTTATCATACTGGCTGTGAAAGCACTACACTAAAAACTATTGCTTATTACTTAGGAACTGAGTTTACAATATTAAAGGATTGATTATAGTCCAGGGTTTTCCTCAATTCTTTCTTTGTTCATAAATTGTTCTCTTTAAAGCAAAATAGGTTGTGCATGGAGCTGCTCAACAGACCAATACATCAATGTCATGATTTGTTTTTATCCTCCACATGCAGCCTCATTAAAACATGCTTCGAGGTGACTATTTTGTTGCTTTGGGGGATCACACCTCCCTCAAGGCAACTTGACATGCTCCCAGTCTGCTCTGTGTCTGTCTGTGCCCACCCACCCACCCTACTCCTTTCTCTCTTCATTCTGTTCTTGAACTCCTTCTCTTTCCCTGTATCATCAGCATCCCCCCATCCCTGCATAGACAGAGAGGAGCTGCAACCCAGTGGGAGGGGAAGCCCACTCCTCAGGACTCAGTCTGTCACCTCTAATTGTGAAATGCAGCGGAACACATAGAATCTAACACAAGATGTTTATGATACCATCGTTTTCACAGACAAACACAACGCTTTTTTGTTGTCAGATGACCATACAACCATGAAACCAGAAAAAGCAGCTTGATTCAGATGAATTCTCAGTTAAAAGGTCAAACATTCCTTGCCTGTACAGTAGTTGAAATGCCACCCACTCACAAGCTGTGGGAATTATGGCTTCCAAGCAGGCCATAAAGTCCAATAATAAAGAAGCCCACACACAATGAGTTTTATTTGTTAATACTTGCTGTCAGTCAGTTTAGTGCATCAGGTGCAAGCACCGATATTACATACTGCATAAATAACAACTTGTCTCAGGTGCTGTACAGTAAAATTCTTTACCTTTGACAATGGCTGAGTTAAGACCCATGAAAGTGTTAACATCTGTAAATCCTGGACTCATCGATGTTTAAGACAATGTGTTCATATGAGAAAAATGTTCATGTTTGTGTGGTAACTGAACAGGTTAAGGTTTGGTAAAGAACGGTTACTTGAACTACTTGGTTTAGGTTAGGGAATCAATATGGTAATGGTTAAACAGTTAAAAAGCCTGTGCTGTTTGTTTGCAAACTTCAAATAAGCAAGTCCTTATGTACCTACTCAGTCTGACCCCCACTTAATGTTTTCAAAACAACTTCCTTAATGTTAATGCAAATGGTAATTTGCTAAGAACATGATGCATAAATAAGTGATAGCAAAACGGGCAGAAGGACACTTTCTCTATACAGACTCCATTATTACTGGGACGATTCAAAGTACAATATTGTATTTATATCATAACCACAGAGTAAAGATTATATAAAGGGACTTGGGCTGTACTGTGATGTTATATTT